CCCAGGGAGGCTGTGGAGTCTCCTTCTCTGGAGATATTCCAGCCCCGCCTGGACGCGGTGCTGTGCCCCCTGCTCTGGGTGCCTCTGCTTGGGCAGGGGGTTGGGCTGGGTGACCCACAGAGGTCCTTCCAACCCCTGCCATGCTGGGATTCTGTAACGCCAGAGCCACATCGCGCCCAAGGAGGGCTCATCGAGCAAAAACACGCCCAAGGAGGGTTCATCAAGCAGCACCAGCCATTTCAGAGGTCAAAAGCCGGCCCATCGCCTCTGTGGCCACAGTGGGGACAGGGAAGGCCAGGGACCCCAGACCAGGGCACCTGAAGGAAGAGGTGCTCATTGAGCAGCAATAATTGAGGAAAATGTTGTCGCCCAGGTTGGCCGGGCTTCAAAGCCGCCCCGTTCGACAGCAGCCTGCAAGCCTGTGGCACACGAAAACCCCCGTCTCGCCCCAAAATTCCTGCCAGAGGAGGAGTTCGGACTTTCAGTTCGAGCTCTGGTTGGTGTCAGACGCCAGCTCACGGCGCAAAGCTGGGCGCTGTGGCGTCTGCAGTCCCACGGCCACCTGTGCCACCGTCTCCTCACGGCGCAAAACACTTGAGCAAGGCTTTCCCCAGCCAGTCCCACGCCACTCATTACCTCGCTTCGTTTCCCCAGCAATTAGTCACTCGCTTGGTGAGAGCGAGCCCAACGGTCCCGGAGGAAGATTCCTCCTCCCCAGGACTCTCGCTCACCTGAAGAAGCCCTTGCAGCCTTCGCAGGTCATGGCGTTGAAGTGAAAGCCGGTGGCTCTGTCCCCGCAGACGCCACAGATCCGGGGCACGTTCCTGTCCAAGTCGCCGGCCGGGTCGGGAAGCGACGTGCTGGCAGCCACCGTCTCCATCTCTGGGGGAGCAGAGAAAGCCAAGTCTTCATTTCGTGAAGCGGCCACAGCTTTCCAAGAAGCAAATTAGATGCAAATAAAGGGTTTTTCGTTGGCTTCAAGACGATTTGGCGAGACCAGCTCCCGCGTTCCCTTCGGCCCGGTGCACCAACACCGCAAAAAAGCGGGTTCTGGCTAGTTTTTAGTGCATGCGCGCATTCGCCCAGCGACACCAGTAAAACCAGCACTGATCCCCCCAGCCCGAGACACACCCCAGCACACGCTCGCAGCAGCTTGCTCAGTTTCAGTGGGAGAACTCCTCTAGCCCACCCCAAACCCAGGTCACTTCCCACCCCCCCTGAACTCCTGCACTTTTGTTTTCAGA